TGTTTAAAGCCTGCTTTATTAAGAAGAAAACGAGACATCAAATTTTTCTCATAGAAGGAGTATAAAGTACATCTTTCAATGTTTATATCCTTACAGAAGTAAAACACAATTCAACACCTCTCATTGCAAGTACTTGAGTAGTGTGAGAATCACCAAGAATGATGGTTTTGGAGTCCTCGAAATGAGTATATTTTTTAAATTAGTCTTTGTTATAGCACACATGATGGTTTGCACCAGAAGCAACTCACCATCCATCAACATTCTCAACCATGTCTATGTTTGTAATTACTGCCACAAAAGGTTCTTCGGTAAAATTTGTCTGAGGGTTAGGACCATATTTTTTAAATATGAAAAATCAAGCAATATGCCCACTCTTGCCACAAACAAAGCATGGTCCCTTTTCTTGAACTTGCTAATTTTATGCTCGGAGATTTTCACCATTATTTTTCTTGAGAGGTCTACCACTATTTTTCTTGAATTTTCTCTTCTTAGGCTTAAAGAAGTATTTTTGTGATATTCAGGAGTAGCATTATTCGAAGTAATTAAATTTACCTTCGATCTGATGTTGTTCTCTTCTGTTTGTAAAAGTGCATCTTGGCCCCTTGCTTCTTCTTCCATGCGGATTTTCATTTTAAGGTTTCAAGAGAGGTTTCCTTTTGTTTGTGACGCATAGTTTCTTGAAATTCCTTCCAAAAAGGTGGAAGTTTATCCACTATGCCACAAACAATAAGGTTATCTTCAATTTTAACCTCTTCGGACCTAAGCTCTCCAACAATCATGATGAAGTATTGAGCTTGATCTACCACTGATTTGTTGTCCACCATTTGGAAATGAAAAAAATCTACTAGCTGCATATTTTTTTGCCCCAGCCTCTTCGGTATCATACTTACTTTGCAATGCCTTCAAAATTTTCTTTGCACTAGAGTAAGTTCTATCATATTAATCATAAAAATTATTAGATAGACAATAAAGAAGATAATACCAACACTCATAGGAATCACCATCGTACTTTTCCACTTTCTCTAGATGAGAAATAGTTTCATCATCATTCATAGTGGCGATGTCTTTTTTATTTGGATTCTTCTCGGTTAATACATAATAATCATTGAGAAGACTTCATTAGAAAATTACTTTACCCTTTCATTGATCCGAAATAGCTTGCTAAGATCTCCAATCTTGACATCCACGATTTTTTCAATTGTAGCCATCTTGAATATCCTTAAAATTGTTAGTGAAAAAAAATACAAGATAATAAAATTGCAAGATTATAATTGAAAATCAAATGAAGAAATTAAACTCTTCAGGCTGAGGCACGGATATCTCGCTCTCATTAAGGAGATTCAAGTCCACTGCAGCAAATGTTTTCACCGGCCCAGCAGTAATCCTCTTTGACTTGTTCCCTCCAGGATACAACAGCCTTCACAAAATATAACTCAACAACTCAGGACAATAGTTGAGTCCAAAGATCCACAAAAAAGAACACATCCCTTAAACTAATAAGAACTCTCTTTTAGACTAACTCTTTCCCTCTTTGTTTTCTCTTGTGTTTTGTGTTTACCAATCCAAATGAAGACCACCACTATTTATACTACAAGAAGTTTTTCTAGCAATAAATAGGAAGATAATAATATTGTAAATGATAAAGATAATGGTCTAAGGAGTTACATATGTTAGAAGGAAGGAGTAAAGAATGAAATAAAGATAAAGCATAACAAATGCACTAACGTGCAAATGTTATTTTTTACTGTTGCAACATTTATCAGAAAGTAAAGTGCATTATTATGCATATGGTCATTAAGTGACCATTTAGTAATAGGGACTAATGCAGAAATGCACAAATCCAATGCACTACAACGGTCATAATCTCAATTTCATATAGCCTTTTAACATAATTCTATGAAACAATTTAATAATAGATAAATATTAAAATGCTCAAAATATCAACATAAAGTGCTTAAATATCATCAATTACATCATTTTGAGTATGGATTATTTTATCATTTACCGGTTTAGGTGGTGTCACACTATTAATAAACCGAATTGTAGCTTGACCTTTTGTTAATATCTTATCCCTCAATGTACATATATGCTCACTTTGAATAAACCTTATTTTTTTCCCAACAGATGCACTTAATTATCAATAATAGTCATTCGATAAACACAATAATACGTCGCTACAATTATTTCAGATACTTTATTAAAATGTATAATGGATACATTAAAAAAGTGTATTCTATACATATTGAACATTAACGAAAAAATAATATACAGATATATTAAAACATTATAAAAAAGGGGAAAATATATGATTTTTATAGTAATATTAATGCAATAATGTATCATGGTTATTATACAAATATAAATTCAAATATTTAAAAGAGGAGGGTCACATGTATCTCTGACTTGATATTAAAAGTATTGTTACTCAAAGATCTGATAACTCAAAATATATACGTCAAACGTTTGATGTATCAACGTCATAGCTTGTAAATCTATCATGATTGATTTATTAAAGTACAATGATAAATTAATGAATAAATTTCATACATTGATACATTAATTTATAAGAATAGAAGTTCAAATATATTCGATATATTATACTAATATTACATTGAGTCATAGATACAAAAACACATTGAAATTGTAAATATATAGCAAATCATAATTATATCAAGGTGAATGCTATAATGTATCATGATTATTATACACATACAAATTCAATCATTAAAAAAGAGGATCGCCACATATATCTGATACTTTATGCTAACATAACTATAAGTTACTCATATGATACCTTGAAATATATAAGTCAAGCATTTACTGTATCATCCTTATAACTAGTAATGTACCATGCTTATTTATGACAATATAAGCTTATGACTGAAAAATAAGTTCAATACCCTTGTTATCAAATCTTTTAACTCAAAAATTGAAGTCATGTTTTATTTTGTATTTTTTCATTACAACTACTAGAGTGATTTTATCCTTGTACAATTAATTCACCTTCACATTTGTACTATGCGTATAATATAATTAATTTGTTAACTCTATTTATGGTATATATCATGAATCGCCATTTTTTATTCTATCAATTTAAGAGCGAGTGTTCCCTTTTTAGCACCTTCAACACACACAATTTCACTAGTCGATATTTACATCCCCACTCAATCAAAATAGGAGAAATGTAGCGGTGACTCAAAAAATAATTAATTGAATCAATTTTAATGAATTTAAAAAATGAACGTGTTTTAAAAGGAGTTGTCACCTAACTTTAGGGGGGGGGGGAAGGAAACCGTTAAATGATCTACAAAATCTATTTGATTCTAGGTAAGGAGTTCAAATTATTCCAAAGGGAAAGGGTTAGGGGTCTTTCGAAATCCACAAATGTGTGTCCCGAGTGAATTCACTTTTTTAATAAAAAAATTTAGGAAGAATATAAAATAATGTACAAGTATAATAAACATTCAATAACCATACAAAATAATGATTAAAAAGTATGATTCGAACTACATTCGAATAATTTCAAGTAGTTGCACCTCTGGATACCTGTAAAGACACTTAGTAAAATATTTAGTACCAAATAAATATAAATAAAAATGAATAACTCAAATAATAACTTAAAACTAAAAAACCGTCTTATTAACATGCGAGGCCTTGAAAATCGACGGTAATTTCTTCATCGGCCAATTTAACAAATAAACATGTATGAACTTAAATTAGATTTCCATCTTTTAAAATGAAAAGGTCTTTGAGTACAACGGATAGATTTTTCATTGGTTAATTTACCAAACTAACATGTATGAACTTCAATTATATTTCCGTCTTTCAAAATGGAAAGGTCTCTAAACCTGATGGATAGATTTTTCATTGGCCAATTTAACAAATAAACATGTATGAACTTAAATTACTTTTCCTTGTTTTAAAATGGAAAGCCCTATAAACCCGACAGATAGATTTTTCATTGGCCAATTTAACAAATAAACGTATAAGAACTTAAATTAGATTTCCGTATTTTAAAATAGAAAAGCCTCTAAACCCGACAAATAGATTTTTCATTGGCCATTAAATCAAATAAATTTTAAAGATTAAAAATAAAATAAGAAAACTAAATACAAAACTGAGAGGCATGATATAAAAATAATAGAATGTAAGAAAACACCAAATGAACACAATTATAAATAATGGAAGTAAAATTAAGCAAGAGAATTCTACCAAAGAAATGGATTAAAAATAAATAAGTGAAAAATATACATAACTACAGAAACATAAAGCTTAATCCAAACTGTAACATAACAACAAACCAACAATCAATAAGAAAAAAGAGCAAGTTTCTCCATTCAATGCTACCGGAAAAGAGAACGGAAGTTGTAGAAAAAATTTGGGTAGTGTTTTTCACGAGTTGTTGACTCGCCGGTTGTGGAGCTGCTTTCTATTGGAGCTTTCAGAGTCACCGTGGACGACGAAATACCTGCAAAAATAAAGGAAAAATAATGAAATTGATGAGGGGAAGGGACTGATGTTTTTTGGTAGGTGTTTGCTGGAAAATTAAAGGGTTTTTGGGTCTGGTTCGAGCCGGGTTGTGGTTAGCTTCACCGGGAAAGACGATAAGGGGGAAATGGAGGCTGGCAATGGGTTTTGGATCTGATTTTGAGCTCTGGAGACTGTTTTCACCTTCTTTCTCTTTGTTTCAGGTGGGTTTTCGAGTGGTTGTCGGGTCGTTTTCGGTGACTTTTTTCACCGAAAAAGGTAGAAAAATGAAAGGCTTTTGGAGGCGTTTGTTGGCTGTAATTGTTCATTGAGAATGGGCTGATTTTTGGAGGTTTTTAGTGGTTCTGATGGGTTCTTAGAGTTGAATCTTTGGAGAAGAAGAGTGTTGTGGCTACTCTATTTTGAGGTGGATGTTCCAAGCTAGTTTCGTCGAAAAAGAGGAGGACAAATGGATGAGGTTTTGGCTTGGGGCTGCTGGTAGTTTACATGTTGGGTTTTTTTTTTGGTCGGAAATGGGAGGTGTGGTGGCTGTTTGGTTGCCAGAAAATGGGAAAATGGAGGTGATGAGCTGCTGGGGGTTCCAGTTTGAGTTTGGGGCTGTTGTTGGTAGTGTTGGACGGGTAGAGGATGGTGGTGAAGTTGTTTGGAGGAGGGAGCTGCTGGTTGTAATTTTGCTAGAGAAAATGGATCGTTTGGACAAAGAAACTTGAAGGGTTTTGGGATGTGTCCTGTCGGATTGCGGGAAAACTTTTGCCGAAAAATATGGACACTCAAAGAAGTGTTCTTAACCCCTTTAAAATCTAAAAAAAATACCCCTAAACATTTTCTTCCCCCACCTCCTTTGACCTAACTATTTCTAAAATAGAAAATTGTTAGACAAGGGGCCTAGTCATGGTCTCAAGATTGAGGCCCAAAAAATATTGTCGATTGAAGATATTTTTATATGCAAATTATATCGTATTTTGAATGACTCTTTAAAGTGTGAAAATATCAAAATTAACGTTAACCAATGTAACAAATAAAAAATAAATATTAAAAAAATAAAGAACGTAACTAACGATATGTAAAAACATTAGAAAATTAACAAATAAAAAAAATTAACAAATAAGCATAGTTATAGATAAACTTATTTAAAATGAAATTATTTTAAGCTATTAAATAAATAAAACTTCAAAATGATGAATGTTTAAAATGTTGGTCCAATATTGGGTGTCAACAGTTGTCCCTTTGTTGTGTATGACTGATAAAAGAAATCGTGGACAACGAAAATTGACAAACCCAATTTTGACCAAACACATGACCGTTGTAGAGAAGTGCGGTTTAATGTTGTGGAAGTCAATTCCAGACTTGTCTCCAAAAGGTTCTATGATGTGTTGCGTCCTTGTTGAAGTAGTTTGTACATGTGGTTTGTTTTTTTCTTTGAAAAATTTATCCTTTTGAATGCTCTTGGCAAAGACTGAGATAAAACTCGTCAGTTGAAAAAATGCAATTTAAATGGGAGATAGTGTCTTTTAGCGTATCGATACTTAATTGTTTTCCTCAACATTTGACGTCAACTCGATAAATTTGACATAAAGCAAATAGAGCTTATGTCTTATGTATGCAATGTTATCTTCAATGTACTATTCATTTGATGTCGAAAATAAATAAAAAGAAGATGCAGTGTTGATACTTTTTCGTTGTTTTTGATGATTCTCTTGGCATTCACTTTTGCCAAATGAAGATGCAGTTGATGTTGAGGGGTAAATATTTTCCTTGAGATGCACGATTCCTTTTCTGGCAGTGCATGATTTCTTGCGGGGCATGAATATCTTGCCGCGATACGTAAATTTTGCAAGGGATGAAATCTTTTCGCGATGCATAAATTCCACAAGGTATGAAATCTTCTTACGATGCATAAGTTTCTACGAGGTACGAAATCTTCTCGCGATGTATGAATATTGAATCTTAATGCATGATCTTCTGCGGGGCATGAAAATCTTCCAACAATTCATAAATTTTGCAAGGTATGAAATCTTCTTGCGATGCATAAATTTCTGCGAGGTATAAAATCATCTTGCGATGCATGAATATTAACTCGCGATGCATGAATATTAACACGCAATGTATGAATTAACTCGTCATGCATGAATTTTGACTTGCGATGCATGACCTTCCGCAATGAATTAACTCGCGATGCATAATCTTCCGCGATGCATGAATATTGGCTCGCGATTCATGTTCTTCTGTGAGGCATGGATATCTTCCCGCAATGCATAAATTGTTCAAGGTGTGAAATCTTCTTGCGATGCATAAATTTCTGTGATGTATGAAATATTCTCGTGATGCATGAATATTAACTCGCGATGCATGAATATTAACTCGCAATGCATGAATTAAATCGTGATGCATGAATATTTACTCGCGAAGCACGACCTTCCGCATTGCATTAACTTGTGATGCATGATCTTCCGGGATGCATGAATATTGACTCTCGATGCATGATTAAATATTGAATCTCGATACATGATCTTCTGCGAGGCATGAATATCTTCCCGCAATGCATAAATTCCTCAAGGTATGAAATCTTCTTGCGATGCATAAATTTATGCTAGGTATGAAATCTTCTCATTGTGCATGCATATTAACTTGCGATGCATGAATATTGATTCTCGATGCATGGTCTTCTGCGATACATGAATATTTACTCTCGATGCATTATCTCCTGTGATACATGAATATTGACTTTCGATGCATGATCTTTTGCGGGCATGAATATCTTCCCGCAATTCATAAATTCCACAAGGTATGAAATCTTCTTGCAATGCATAAATTTCTGCGAGGTATGAAATCTTCTCGCGATGCATGAATATTAACTGCAATGCATGAATATGAACTCGTGATGCATGAATATTAACTTGGGATTCATTAATTAACTCGTGATGCATGAATTTCTGCGAGGTATGAAATCTTCTCGCGATGCATGAATATTAACTCGCGATGCATGATCTTCTACCGGGCATGAATATCTTCCCAGGATGCATGAATATTAACTCGTGATGCATGAATATTGACTCACACTGCATGAATTAATTTGTGATGCATGAATATCAATTCTCAATGCATGATCTTTGTAGTTGCTATCATACTTCTGGCAGTTCTTATCGAAATTTTGAGGTCTTCCTCAAAATTCTGCCTAGTTAGAATTTTGGCAGATCTCAAAATGATCTTCAATATTGACTTGTTGGCGATAACACCTCTATTGTTAATCTTTGATATAATTAGTCATATAATAATTAGGGTAACAATAATCAATAAAAAAAATAATAAAAAGTGACGCATGGTTGTACAAGGATATATGCGAAGGCGGCTTCAGGTTAGAATGATTTCACTCAAATTCTTCTTAGTGCATAAATTGTATGGATAATCATTAGTGAAGTAGGAAAATTGTAAAGTGCAAAAGTGTGGCCACATTTTGTAAGAATATGATTGAGTGAGATTTTGTATAGAAGTGAGGAAATTAATATTTTGACAATTGTTAGGGAAAATTGGATAATGGAAATAAAATAATATTGTAAGTTCTGCATATTCTATATAATATACAGGTCATGTAGTTTGGATTGCTGTTTGTTCGTATGCCACTGGTTTTATGACCAGTGACTTCCATCTTTATATGTTAATATTTTGTTCTCACATTATAAATTATATTTTAATTTATTAAGATAGGTAATTAAACATATGTGTTGAATTATTTAAATTCCATTAAGGTTATGATAATGAGAGGAATTGACACTTACCATTAGGCTTGAACTTTAGAAAATTGATTATAGATTTGGATGAGTTATCGATTTTAGGTTATACATATATGGGTTCCTACAGATTCGTTTGTTTACGAATATTTCATACTTGATAGATTGGAAACATTCTGGCATTGAGGAAAACAACAACAAACCGACAATCAACAAGAAAACAGAGCAATTTTCTCCATTCAACATTAATAATATAAAACCAAGTCAAAAAAAGGTAAAAGAATAAAAATGCTACCGGAAAAGAGAACGGAAGTTGTAGGAAAAAGTTGGGTCGTTGTTTTCACGAGTTGTTGACTCGCCGTTGGTGGAGCTGCTGCCTACTAGAGCTTTCAGAATCAATTTGGACAACCGAATACCTGCAAAAATAAATGAAAAAGTGTGAAAGGGATGAGGGGAAGAGACTGATGCTGTTTGGTGGGTGTTTGCTGGAAAACAAGAGAGGATTTGTGGGTTTCTTTATGGTCTGGAAGGTGGTGTTTTTCCGGAAAAAGAGACCAAAGACTGTGGGGTTTTTGGGGTCTAGTTTGAGCTGGGTTGTAGTTAGCTTCGCTGGGGAAGACGATAGGGGGGATGGAGGCTTGCAATGGGTTTTTTTATCTGATTTTGAGCTTTGCGGAGACTTTTTTCAGCTTCTTTCTCTTTGTTTCAGGTGGGGTTTTCAAGTGGTTGTGGGGTTGTTTTTAGTAACTTTTTTCACCAAAAAAGTGAAGAAAAATGAAAGTCTTTTAGAGGTGTTTGTTAGCTGTAATTTGTTCATTGAGAATGGGCTGATTTTTAGTGGTTTTAAGTGTTTTTTATGGGTGTTTAAAGTTGAATCTTTGGAGAAGAACAGTGTGGTGGCTGCTCTATTTTTAGATGGATGTTCCAAGCTAGTTACACCGAAAAAGAGGAGGATAAATGGATGAATATTAAAAATCATAATGAACGTAACTAACGATATGTAAAAACGTAATTTAAAAATTAACAAATTTTTTTTTTTAAATTTTAATAAATAATGATTGTTATTGATAATCTTATTTAAAATTATATTAAAAAAATTATTTTAAACTATTAAATAAATAAAACTTCAAAATTATGAATTTTTATAATGTTAGGCCAAAATTGGTTGTCAACAGCTGACCAATCAAAACTTTCGATCCAACCAACATCCTTATTAGTTGTATTAAAACAAAGAGTATAAATACAGAATTTAGCTTCATGTTTCTTCACCTCTAAGTACAGTTTACCTTATATCATCATTCCTTATATTCATTGAAGAGGAGTTTCCCTCTATGATGTAGGATATATCATTTTTTTTAGACTCATCAATGTTCAACTCCATCACAATGGTTGAAATTATATTCATATAGGAAATATTTTCACCAACCACTATCCCATCACTCATGTATCTTTTATATCTAACCTCACTCTCCCATACTCATGAATGCCAATCGAGATATTCATTATGTATCTGATCAAATTTACAACAAAAAGTTTGATCTTTCATGAAAGTTTCTTCGTTTAAACAGGGAACGAAACGAACAAGATTTGAATTTTCAAATTCTTAATTGGTTTGATATTTTTGGAATCACATTTCTATGATTGACAATAAAAATGAAACTAATTAATTTACGGGAGCTTCAACTTACATATTCGGATTGTGTAACTTTCTCAAGGATTAATGTAATTAAAACATAAATAGAAATATAATGTCATTTCATCTTAAAACTACGGGATTGCAAAAATTTATACTACAAAGATATTGAAATTTCTAGGCTTTTTTGTTGACGTGTCTGGATGGGATCTGGGCTCTTATTTTTTATCGTAAATACATGTAGGGCTTTCAGATAGAATAATGCCTATTTACATTCTCAACCTCATTTTTCTTCATCCTC